GGCCCCGCGGCGCGGCGGGCAGCGCTCCCCCTCCGCCTGGCGTGGGGTTGTGCCCCTCCTCCGGTCGGGGCCCGAGTGCTCGTTCTGCGGCGAGGAACGGGCGCGATGGGGGTCCTGTGCACCCCCATCCCCGCGGTCACCGCGCGGCGGAGGGGCGGACGTGTTCTGTGCGCGGCTGCTGGAAAGCATCTGAGCGGCGCCGGTGCAAAACTCCGAATGGGAAGAAAGTGACTGTTTTGTCTGTTACACTTCTAACTGGGAAACGCGCTAGGACACATCTGTTATGACGTCAGCGCGGGGAGCTCACACCCCGCGCGCGCCACAGCCTGCGCTCACTCGGCGTCGGTGGCGACAGGGAGAGGGACAGGGAGAGGACCCGCTCCTGTGCCGGCCATGGGAGAGCACCAGTACCAGTGCTGGCAGGCTTCGTACCTCTCTGTCAAAGAGAGGTTATGTCCAAATTAAGAACTACGTGGACATATTTTGGGAAAGTGGCAGATCTGATTTAATCTTACGAGCGTTGACCCTTGCTGTTGTGCAGTGCTTGATGTCTGGTAAGGTGTTACTCGGTTGTCAAAAGTAACTTAAAAAATACGTAAGGCTTACCTCGATCAACATAATGCTCAGGCTTTTTTGTGATAATATTCTTCTGGTTTAAGTACGTTGTTGAAACGCTTTCCCTTTCAATTGGAAAAAGGAGATGCCACTGGTATCTGCAGTTTGTATCTTACCTGAAAATCACTGAGCCCAACAACTGCCATCTCAGTCTTCCAAATGGGCAAGGATGTCTTCATTTCTCAGTGAAATGAGGGGGAATTTTCCAGCTTTGTATATTATCTTCCCAGAAATGGAAAATATGTATCAAGTAGATTTTAAATTGGAAGTTTAACAGAGAAAAAGATCTAATTAAAGGCTTTGCACACAATTTGTCTTTTGCGGAACTAGAAGTTCTCTAATTTACTGTGCTTTGTTTAATCCACCTTAAGTTTTATCAACAGCGACCAAGTCGTGCCATAAATCTGAAACTGCTTTATGCTTTGTTCTCTCAGCTATTTCAGTATAACAAAGCAGCTTATGCTTTAAACCCTCAGTTAAGTTTATAGTTTCCCCAAACTTAAAAAGGGTCTACGTGCTATAGTAAGATAGTAGCAAAAATTTACATATAGAAATTGATAGTTGATCGTGTAATTATTCAGCAGCTTACTGTGCACACATAATTACACATATTTCAAGAGGTATCATCTTGAAACCTAATCAGCATTCTAAAAAGGACTTAATATCAGTTATTGCCTCTGTCCTTGAGGGCTGAGGGTTTGTTTTGCTTTCTTGTATGTTCAGCGTTTCCTTTTTATAGCTTACATTCCTCTGTTGTTTTCCCAGGGAAAAATGTACAACTTTACATAAGTAGGACTGAAAAAGATGCTTTTGGGTACAACTTGTTGGTTGATAGTAAGGGTTGTAAATGTGATAGGTGCAAAATACCGCAAGCACTGCTGCCAAAATTGTATCCAAACAAATATTTCTTGGAGGGACAGAAGAAAACCGGGCAGAAATAAATTTGCAAGTGTTTTCTTGCTCTCCCTTCCCAAGATTTCTCAGAGCTATATCCCATCCTCTGTGTCTCAGAGGTATGTGGTTCCCAGGAGTGAAAAGACGGGCCAAACAGCTCCTCCTGGATCTCAGCAGGCCAGCACTTGAACGGGCCACTACTCACAGCTGCTTTTTTATAAAAGATCTTCATAACTGTAATGGATTAAAATCCCATGAAAGTGTAAGGAATGTCATCAGTCACCAGCTCGACAGAACTTAAAAGTAATGCTTATATGGTTTTGACGGGAAATTGTTTTGTGTGTTTAGGTTTGGGTTGGATTGGTTTGCGGGGAGAGGGGGCGCAGCGGCGTTTCAATCATTCTTATCAGTTAGTTAGTTTTTCACGTTATTTCTTACAGACTAAGTGACAGGATTTCTCATATTCTTTTCTTTCTGGAATGTTTTTTTGACATTCTTGTGTTAACCAGAAATTTTGCCTCTGTTACAGATATGTTACAGATACATAACAATGACCATAGTTAACAAGCCAAAATCTTCTAAATCTAAAAAATCATCATCGAGGCGGTCTGACAAATCTAAGACACCGCGTACTAAAAAAATGACATCACGTACCGCAAACTTGAGCCGTGTACCACCTGCAGAAGATCCAAACAAAGTCTCTGACAAAGGACCCGGGGGTGCTATTTATTGCAGATCATCTCAAAAACCTAAGCCTTTTGCCCAAAGAGATCTAAGTAAGTGTGTCTTTTGTCCTCCCCCATTTTTCTTAAAACCAAACAAAAATAAAAGTAGAAAATGCAGTTCTTAGTTGTTGCACTGCTATACAATGGGACTACGATGAATAAAGACTTCAACAGTAGACTTCAATTTTATGAATCCCCTAAGACAACTAAAGTGACTGGTGTTGCAAAAATTAATTTTGATCTATTTACAATCAGTTATGGGGAGCTTTTTGTAACACAGACTTATCCAGGTCTTTTCTGTTATGGAGATAAAAGTACATTTTTCCATTGTTATTCACAGCTTCCATGATTCACAAATCTTTGAATGATAACACTGCTCAGGAAGAGATCTGATATCTATAGGGTTACCTTTTGTGCTAGTTACTTGCTTATTTTTCTGTCTTAGTTCTTATATTTATTACCATATAATGGTTTAAGTTACAATAAGGAAAAAAACAATAATTGAATTAAGAATCGGATGAAAGACTCGAGACAGAAAGAAACCTGGCAAAAGTTACTAAAATCAGAGTGGTAGTTTGTCTTGCATTAGAAGAGCTAAAACAGATGAATAAACTATTGTCCAAAACAGCTTGTTGACCAACAAATTTGAGGGGCAGTGTTAAAGCTGTGCATCATATGTTTTTGAAACAAAACCAATACATCTTTTTTAAAAATACAATTTTCTTGCAGTTGTTAATGACGGAATTGCCCCGCCACAAAGGATTCTTTTTCCACCTGAGAAAATTTGTATGGATTGGCAACAAACACAAAGTGTTGGAGTTGGACTGCAGAATCTCGGCAACACGTGTTTCCTTAATTCTACCCTACAGTGTTTGACCTACACGCCTCCTCTTGCCAATTACATGCTCTCTCTTGAACACACCCAGTCATGTGAGTACTTTCAAACGTTATTATAAATCTGTTGGACAGCTGTGAAGATGAAAGAACAACAGTGATTCTGCAAAGAAAACTCCTAGTTGTCCTATTTTATCTGTAGAAGCTGGCTTTGAACGCTGTATTAACAGGTGGCTCCAAGTAGCATATAAAGTGCATTTGTTCATTTAATGCACAGTGCTAAAACTTAAAAAAAAAGATCATTTCTTGCTTCATGTGGATAATGAAGTGCATTGTAAAGTAAGGCATTTGATGAACATTTGGGATTTGGATTTCCTGCTGGTAGAAAGGTGATAAAGTTTAGGATGTTGGCATTGTAGATTCTTAGTCTTTGCAGCCTAGATACTGTAATGCACTAATACTGTGGTAAACGGTATGTTCACTGTTGACCCGTTAAAAAAAAAACAAACTAAAACCCACTCTAGAAAGCACTACAAACTAATCTCTTATGGACTCAAATAGAAATTTTGGGGCGACTATTAAAATTTAAACTGATTTTATTCTACATAAAATTTTATATTTTCTTAAACTCTTGAATTTGTGTTCTTTGAACTTAATTTTTATTCTTGAATTTATTTAAGTCTAAAAGCCTCTTTTCATATCCATGTATGTGTATTTTTACAAAGGCACCTTATGCTTTCTAGTCTGGTATCTTACTATTTATTCCTAGAAATTTAAGTGTGTTTTATTACCATATATAAAAATGATTTCAGGTAAGAATCCTATTGAAAAAAGGAGGACAGAAATAGTAATACATACATTACTTTAATCTTTCCTTTCTCCCAGAGTGTTCTTAGCTGTGTGTCACGTAGCTCACCTAACAGCAGTGTGCTGAAAATAACACACATTCTCTCTTAGTGCTGCATCATCAGTGTCATTAGTGTTTCCTCATATATTCTTCAGACTGTGGAGTTCACATTCCTGTCAGCCTGAAAAAAAAAAAAAGACATTGCAATAGTTACTTAGATTTCTCATCAGAAAATGCGCTTTAATACAGACTTAATCAGCACTTTTATTCTATACACTTCTGCGTAATAAAATATCACAAAACTGTTGGGATATTGACACCTTGGGAGAAAAGAATGTAGCATGGAGAGTGGACATTGTACCTATAACTTAAAGATTGTTGGGTTTTTTAGAGTTTTTTTGTAGCAATGTTAGTTTACTAGACTGGGATGCTTTCTTCTTTTCCACTCTTCAGGTCATGAAGAAGGCTTCTGTATGATGTGCACGATGGAAACGCACATTAACCAGGTCCTTTGTTGCTCTAATAATGCCATCAAACCTACATCTGTTATCAATGGCCTTAAAAGTAAGTTATTTCAGATGGTTTTATTTTTTTATATTTTTTTAAATTTTCAAAGAATCGTTTGATGCATATAAATGATTTTGATACTTTAAAGAAGAGAGATTTTGGAAATATGAGTTTTCTTTCATTTTATATGAGGTAAATATAATAACCTTCTTATTTATTAGGAATAGGAAAACATTTCCATTTTGGCAGTCAAGAGGATGCACATGAATTCTTATGCTTCACTGTTGATGCTTTGCAGAAAGCTTGCTTGAATGGAAGCACCAAGTAAGCATAAACAAATTAATTTTTAAATGTTCTCTAGCCCCTCTTACTCCTTTATTTACTATCATAAAATAAAATCTATGTCCTTGCTTTTCATAAAAAGAAAAACTGTTTGAAGAGTTAACTCTGTGCCTTAAATCTCCTGAGGTCTGATTATGATTTATTTTCAGATTGGACAGATCTTCTCAAGCCACCACACTTATTTATCAAATATTTGGAGGATATCTCAGATCCCGAGGTACGTTTTAAAAATCTTACTGTCCTTCAAACTGGTCTGTGACTTTTTGTCGGTCTAGTAAAGGAGTTTGTTGTTTGACTAAAGTAGTATGTATTAATAATTTAAATTTGCACAGTTGGTCTCCTTCACATATTGTTAAGCATTTGTATTTTGATTGCAGTGAAGTGCTTGAACTGCAAAGCGGTTTCAGATACGTACGAGCCATTCCTTGATATTACTTTGGATATAAAGGTAAGATATTTGGTGAATATGGGTCGAGATGTGTAAAGAATTGTAGAGCTTTCTAAAATACACTCATTTTACTTAAAAACATATATGGTTAAAACAGAAGAGCTTGGTGGTGGCTGGGAATGGATCGGACTTTGTTTTTCTGTGGAAGCCATGTAAATGGTCTCCATGTTTGCATTGGATTTAAGCTGGAAAAATAATGATTATATCTACACAAACAATGATACTATCATACTTCTCGATTATTCTACTGCAGTAGACATCTATTGTTAGACTGATGGGTTTGATTGTTCTCATTATTGATGCCAAAGCATACCACAGATGCTGTCTGTGGCACTGCAAAATTTATTTGTTTTGAAGTAGAATCATTTTCAAATGAGGTAAATGCTCAGCATACTCTGTTTCTGCCTCCTTCACAGTGTTTGCTGGTCCACAGTAGGTCACTTAAGTATGAACTAGCAAGGTTCTCTAGTAAACTACTAGTAAGTAAGTGTTTGAAATTTTGCATTTCCAGTGTCTTAGTGCTCTACTTTCTTACTCATCCAGGCAGTTACAACTGTCACCAGAGCTCTGGAACAATTTGTGAAACCAGAACAACTGGATGGTGAAAATAGCTATAAGTGTAGCAAGTAAGATTATTACTAATTACATCTTAATACAAGATATGCATTTAATGTATTGCATGACTTTAGAGGATAAGTTATCTTTTGACTTTGCTTACAAATAAGCTAACGAGACACAGCTCTCTGTTGTGCTTTCATTTAGTTTTGTTTATACAACTAATACACTGAAATCATTCAAAGCTTGGAAGACAGTACTGTTGTTTCTAAGTGAGTAACTTTTGTGTTTCTGTTTGAGTATGTGGAAATATATTATAAGAATTGTGGCCGTGAGCTCACATTAGACTTTTATTCCTAGTATTGTCTAGACAGTGTGAAGTTGCACGCTGAAATACTCACATGGCCAGAAGTTAACAGGCATGTACGATAACCAGCGGTGAGCTGGAGCAGAGAGCTATGGACAGCAATTTAGGGTGGGAGGCAGCATCTTCTATTCTCTCCTCTCCCCTCTCCTCCTCTCCCCTCTCCTGAATTTTTCTAATAAAGATTACTGCCTCAAAACTGTATCTAATTACAGGACAAGTTTCACAGAATTTTGTAAAACACTGTTTTTTCTCCTTTATTTTCTGGGCGGGTTTCTTTTCTTGTTCATAGGCACATTGTCAGTTTGCAATTCTCTGCCTTGTGTTTTGACATCAGAATTTGAGACTATTTAATTCTTTCTATTTGTTAACTGTCAAGAGTATTTTTCTTGATGATGTAAACTGACATGTTTCAGTCTTTCCCTGTGCTAGTGGTTGAACGCCACATCTGACTGTAGGTCCTACCTTTGAGCGCGCAGGGCAACAAACTTACATTAAGTGTTTCATTTCGAAGGACTGCAGGTGGTTTCAGCGTCTTTCCAGGCAACCTCAGTACCTGAAGACTTGCTGCTCTCCAATGTCTCCCTCCTGCGGAATGACTGTTTCCTTCCAGTGAATTTTTTAATGTTGATATGTGATCCATTTTGGAAATGATTTGTGGTTTCTAGTCCTGAGGACTGAGACTCTCTTGTTCCACTTTCATTATTTGCATTCCAGCAGAAAGCTGAAAGAATGTATCAGGGACAGGGGTTGAAAATAGCCACTTTGGTGGTACCTGGCCTTACATTCTGGTGATGTGCCCTGACGAGAGAGTCCTGGTCCTGCTGCATGCCGAGTTGTTCCAAGCCTTACCTTTTTGGCATAACAAAGATACATGTTCAGACATTTGTTTGGCTATCGAAAGATAATGTTCCAAATCCCTTATTCTTTGTTCTGTAGAGCTGTCGTCTTATATCCTGCTATCTTCTCTCTATTAACAAACCTGAAATACAGTGTATGGATTTATGAAAAGAAAAAACATATTATGCAAGTAAATATTCAAATAGTATAAGCATGTGTGAGAGATGAAAACTTGTTTGACTTTTGCAGGGGAAAAGAACGTGCTGTTAAACATTTGTCTGTGCTTGGTTTTAAGGTGTAAAAAGATGGTTCCTGCGTCAAAGAGGTATACGATACATCGTTCTTCCAACGTTCTCACAATATCACTGAAAAGATTTGCAAATTTTACAGGTGGAAAGATCAACAAGGTATGTTTACAGCTGTAGTGCAACTTTGTCTTCTTGGAATGGGAGATTTCACAAAGATGAATACTCATTTAAAAGCTGTTAACGTTTGCAGGCAGTAACTATAGACTAATAACCATAGTCATAAGAAAAGCTGATATAACTACTATGGCTTTTTCTTTCTTTTTCAATAATGATAAAATTCTTGTGTGACCTTACTTTTAATAATTCTGTAGAAAACAGTTCTCTCTAACTTAAATTATTAAATGTTGTTTATGAGAATAGGTATTTTTAAATGAATCAAAAAGTATATTAATATAATCCTAGTCTGTGTTTTTAGAAGTGTTTTACTCGTGCTATTCCTTGAAGTATTTAAAGATAATTTTTGAATCTTCTTGGTCTGTGTTTAGGATGTAAAATATCCTGAATACTTGGATCTTCGAGCATATATGTCCCAATCAATTGGAGAACCACTCATCTATGCTTTATATGCAGTTCTTGTACATAGCGGTTTCAACTGTAACGCGGGACACTATCTCTGCTTCATAAAGGTAGATATCAACTTGATTTCTAACAGGGTAAAATCTGCGCTAACAAAGACATTAAAATGTTACTGATAACCACTGTTTTTAAGAGAAAAGGTTGCATTAAATGTTTTGTTTGATTTGTTTTGGTATGTTTTACTCTGTAGTGTTCCGTGATGTCATTTGGAAAACATGCACTTCATCTAAAGATATCATTGTCTCTATTTGCAGGCCGGTAATGGACTTTGGTATCGAATGAATGATGCCTCGGTAGAACTTTCTGATATCAAAACAGTTCTCAATCAGCAAGCTTATGTACTTTTTTATATCAGGTAATAACAACTACTAAATGTGCTCAGAATGTATTTACTTTCCTGCTATTGATATTTTTCTTCTTTTCAAGTATTTTTCTTTCTGTGCTAGGAAAAGATTACTGTTTGTATAATTCAGTTCTGTCTAACCTGAAATTCCCCATGTCATTTATTGCCTTTCATTGTTTGGCCTTAAACTGCTGCACTTGTGTACACTGCTACATATATGCTCTCTGTAGCAGACTAATTTAGAAAAGAGGAAGGAGGGATTAAGTCCATAGATGGTGTAAGGATGAGTTATTGCTCTGAAAAGGATAGTCATTGTAGGAAGACCATTATCTAATTTTCAGTTTGTAGTCTTGGTTAAGTCTTCTGTAAATGTCTTCTGTGTTGTATAAACTGTTCCTATAAAATTATAGGATAGAGTTTAGTCCAAGAATAGGCTGAAAGGAAAATGCTAAACTAAGATCACTGCTCTTTTCCCAAGGCGCTATGATTTGACACTCGGAGAACGTGCTTTTTACTTACCAGCACCGTCTTATCCCCGTTCATTCCTTGGTCAGCGGGGGGCTAATAGTAAACAGGCTGGATTTATGGGACCACGACTTCCGCCTCATATGATTAAGGTAATTTGAGGGGGGTAGGTAATGGCTCCAAATTGCTAGTAGATTTTGGGTTTGGTGTGGGTTTTTTGTTGTTGTTGTTTTTTAGCATCTGAGTTTTATTTTCTGCTCCCACAATGCAGCTTTCTTCACAGTCCTCCTGCTACAGCCAGAATTCTTCAAACAGTGGCTAATCCTAAATTGTGCAGCCATGCTATTTCATTACTTCATACTTCCAGCTCAGCTTTCTAAAGAACTGAGAGCTATGCTCTTGGGACAATTTAAGTAGTCTATTAATGCTTAAATAATTAATAAATTAAAAAAAAAAAAATATTTCCCCCCTATCAGCGTCACTTTAGCTGACACAGTGAAAACAAATTGTCTTGTCCCTGAGTACCAGAACAATTATTCCAGGGTTTTCAGGGAATGTTTAAAGGGGAAAATAGGTATATGTGGGAATAGCTTTAGTCAATATTAAGTTGTTTGGATGGGTTTCAAAAATGATGGTCAATTGATACCAATATGCAGTAAACCAAAAGCAGGAATTAAACACACTTGCTCGACTTACATTTGTATTTGAAGGGGGGTGTTTTTTCTTCTTAGGTGTTGAGGCAATTTGTAGAAATACTTAGTAGGAGAGTTTTGTGTTTTAAAACTGTAAATGCTGTGTGTTTGCACAAATGCATATTACAATCTCTTACTTTAAATACAGAATTCAAGTCGTTTAAATGGAAATGGACCCCTAAAAGAGGATCCAAATACTGTTGGTGTCACCCTACAAAGGCCATCTTCAGCTCCGCCAACAGCTTGTGTTCAAAACTGGACAATTACCAGGCCTTCGAATACGGATCCATCAAAAAACCAGAAGATCACTATCAGTATTCATAACAAAATGCCTGCACGCCAGACTGTGTCCCATCCTGACTGTCTTACCAGTGCTATGGAGAAAGAGGATCTAAGCAAGCCTGTTCCTTCATCCACTATTACAAATTCTTCTGCAGCAGAGTCTACCTCAAACGCATCTACAATGGCAGTTGCTACTAACATTTCCAAACAAGAAGTTCCTGATGAAATTTTTGCTGAGCCAGCAGTGAATGGAAATCCTAAACTCGGCTCTGATAACACAGTCCATTACATGGCAGAACCTTCAGGAAAATCTGAGGAGTCGAAGGGCTTGTTTAAAAGGAATTGCAACATCTTATCTTCTAACGGAATTCTGATTGGAAAGGTGGTCCGCACCTTGCAGAATTCCCATTCTTCCTGTCAGACTGCTGAAGAAGAAAGATCCCAGCTTGAGCTGCCAAAAAATGATTCACTAAATGGTGCTATTAGTTTAGATAATGAATCTAAAGAAAATGGACTGAAACTTGATGATTCCACTTGCCAAGTCCAACCTGTTAAACCTTCTGAGATTTTCTTTTCTAAAACAAATGGATTGCTTGAAACAGTGAGTTACGTTTGTTCCATCTAGCACTTCTCACCTATGATGTATTCAGGAGCATTATAACGTTCCTAATTCACCTGAAATACCGAGAAAACACACAGCACAAATTTCATCGTAACACTTTGTGCTGTTATCCCATTAGAAGCAGAGCTGACATATGAGAACATGTCAACTGAAGAGAAGTTGAGCTGAGATAACAATTGACAAGTTTCATAAATATATTTGGGAGGGGTGAGCGGGGTGATGTGAAAAATAGGGATAGCGCAAATAACTCAAAGTGATCTTGTTTAACATCTAACATAGAAATTTTGCAAACGGCAGTTTTCTACTAAAGATAGTATCTTTTCTGTTTATTTACTTCTGTGTTTTAATTGCAGATGCCTATAGCTCTGTCAACGGTTCCTCAAGAATTAATCTTAGAATCTCTCTCATACAGCCAGTTGAACAGCTTGTCAGAGGAAATAAGGTAAAATGAGTACACTTTGATTAAAAAAAGATTTCATACGTTTATCATTGTTTTACCTGTCTACTAATACTACTTAATAGAAAGATTTAAATCAGTACAGAGAATTCCACACTGTTCATCTAGTGTTGCAAACATCAGCACTGAGCCTTTATTATTCTGATATTAAATACAGGCAGATGCCTCTTGGAAAACTTTGATTTCTTCATAGGATGTTTTTACATTTTTTCCATTGTCTGCAATACTTTTTCCATTTGTCTTTCCATTTTTTTTCCATCCTAGGATGTGTCAATGTAAATTCCCACCGTCTGCTCTCCCATTTGAGGGAGAGAGGGAAATCCGTGTGTTTACTTTTTTCTGTCTGGGGGGAGCGGTTTCGGCTGTTGTGAGTCAGAGCAGCAAGTGGAGGGAGACAGATGTGTTGGGTGTGGTTTTTTTAATGCAATACTTGCAGGATCAAGAGGAAAACCCCACCTTCTCTGGGAGTTGAGCAAGCTGTAAGCATAGATTTCTAAAGGGAATGTCTTTCAGAGTTTTCCAGTAGCCACCAATTTTTTTACTTAAGGGGATTTTACTCCTAACATTCATTTTTTAGATGGACTTTTTCAAGTGAAAAATGTGTTTTTATTTTGTGCAGTGTCCCTGGACCTCAGAAATCTTCTGAGAACGATGCTCTTATGGAAACTGTAGTGATGGAAGCACTGTTTGCCTATGAAGAATCCAGGAAGGTTCCTTCCAGCTTTAGCTGTGAGGTTGGGAATCTTTTCACTCAACCAGATTCTGAAACTATTTCTACCAAAGAAGTTGCTGAAAGTATTATAACAAAAGCTGATAATGCGCATCCCAATATCAATGGTCAGCACAAGGTCAGGAAAAAATCCTTGGACGCTGAAGATGAATTCCTTGGGCAGCGTGAGTCTGAAGATCGTAGAGACAAAGACAAACTGAGAAGATCAAAAGAACCTGAACTCATTTCAAAAGAAAATCCTTTGTACATCAAAGGGTCTCTTGAGAGTGAAGAGAAATTAGGGCAAACTTCCTCTATAAAGTCTGACATTGAATGTAGTTCTAAAAGACTTGCATCTCTAGTTATTACAGATAAATGCCAAGATACAAAGGACATTTCTAATAACTATGTAGAGGTACCACCTGTTAATGACTCTTCTATTATGAAGCTGGATAAAGTTTTGGAGAGTCAATTTTCTAGAGAAAACGAGGGACTGATTAATAAAAAATACGAAGAAGATAAACATAGGAAAAAATATAAGAAAAAAATATATGACTCTAAAAAAACTGACAAAGAGCACTACCGAAGGAAGAGAGAACACTCGGACACTGAAGAGAGGGAGAAGGAGAAGCAAAAGAGAAGCAAACCAGATGAGCATTCCTACAAGAGGAGGTGCTCTCGCAGTGTGGAAACCAATAAGCAAAACCGTCATAAGCAGGAGTATTGCAGTGAAAGCAAGTACAGATCTTCCCATACTGAAAGAAACAGTCCAAATAACAGCAAAAGCTCAGGAAAATATTCTCGTTATAGATCCCGAAGCAGAGAAAGAACAGAACAAGACAGGAATAGGTATTATCATTCCAAAGGAGAGAGAACTTGGAGCAGAGAAAGATACTATCAAGATGAACCACGGAGATGGGACAAATGCAGATACTACAACGATTACTATTCCTCTCGTGGAACAAGAGATGGCAGAGAGAGAAACTCCTCTTATTGTGATAAAGACTTTGACAGATCGAGTCAATCTTACAACAACAGGTCACATAAGGATTATCACTGCAAAAGCAGATGGTCTCACAACGCACTCGCTAGAGAGGAAGACATACATCACTTCAGCAGCCACAGAGCAAACTTACATCATTATTCAGTACCTCAGCAGCAATCATCTGACAAATATTCTCGTGAAAGGCATGCACTTCCATCTGTGTCGGCTCATTCACGTTTTGAGGACTCTTCCCGGGAAAATGAAAAAGAAAAACTAGGACATGGAAAAAGAAAATATACGCCCACCGAAGGAAGTGAAAGCGAAATAGAAAAGAAATGCCGAAAGATAGATGACCAAAGAGTGACAAAATACAAGAAGGTCAAGAAGAAAAAGAAGTCCAAAGATAAACATCGAGAGAAGGATTACAAGTAAGCAAGGATTCCAGCACAATCAGCAATTTTTCCTAATTCTTTTCTGGGTGTTTCTCATGTCTGCCTTTTTTTCATTGTTTCTAAGTTATTTATATATCATAATCTGGCTGGGGATCATGTCATTAGGTTGGTCAAGTGGAGACAGGAAAAATATTGCTGAACTGTGTTAGAACACTAGATCTGGACCACACTGTTAGAATCACATCTGCACACCGTTCTTGATTAGGTTACAACAATTTATTTTTTTTTTTTAATTCCACATATTCCACAACTAGTCCCTGTTAATGATTTGTGTGCAGACCAGGACCTATTGTCCTTCAATCTGAGGGCTTAAATTTGCTGCATCTACAGTAGGTTAGATGTGCAGTAATTGCCACAAAATAGCTGACATGCTGCTTAAAATCCATCACCTTAAAAAAATAACGTTTCATATATGCATCAAGTGCCATCTGTTTTTCTATTTTTAACTTGCATCTTTCCTGCAGACTTTATGATTTGGATTTCTCTGTGCTCCGCTTTGACAATGACAATCGCAAACGTAAGAAAAAGAAGAAAAAGAAGAAACATATCAGGAAACTGAAAGGCTTCTTGGAATACTTAGATCCTCGTTTCCAGAAGAAAACACGGGAGAAGAAGGAAGAATCCTCTCCTCCAGGCGGCTATTCACGTGAGCAATACAGAAACCAGGGCAGTAAACAGCCCTACAAGGAAGGGAAACCTGGTGCAGGTGAAAGCAAGAAATACAGCTCCATCGCATCCAGTGAGTACGATAAAGGTAAGGTAACAGGACGTTTGCAGGACTCCTTTTTATTCACATAGACACTATTATTTAAAACAATCTTTAAATGCTTGTGTGATGAAATCGCTGCGTTAGACCATGGCATCCCAACAGTCTGCATTAATATAAAAAAAAAAAAGTGTAGGCTTTTTATTTTCTTTCCATTTTTAAATGACTGATAGGAAAGAAAGTCTGAAATAAAACTGCGAAGGGACTTGAAGAGCAAGTAATTTTAATTTGACGTGGTGGTTAAGCGGTGAACAAGTGGGAGAGATGCAAGATGCTGTATTAAATTCAGTCCACCTAACTAGGAAAAAGAGCTTGGGCAGCTATACCTTGAAAAAGAATCTAGCAGGTAGCCGTGAGGTTCAGTGGTCAAGATGGAAGATGACGACATGAGACTTCCAGGCTAGTACTATTGTAGCGAACCACCACCTTCCTAAAAGGCTGCCAGAGTAAGAGATTTAAATAAAATACTATGTTCAGCTATTTCATAACACGGAAGCAGTGCTGACTGCTTATTCATAGTAACGTAAGTTGGTGATAACACTGACATACGGTTGTTTCCGATGTAGACCTGCCTTCTCCCGAGCGCACCGAGCTCACAGTTCTTAACCCTCCAGAAGACAATTCGCAATTTAACAGCTGGAGAGTATGTTAAATTCCTGCTACTGTCTGTCTGTCTTGTGGAGTTTTTCTGTTAGTGTAGGCTTAAAAAACACAGAGAAGGGGGCTGATGAAACAGCTGTTTCCCAATTTTTAATGTTAAAAAAAGGTCAGTTTGGTGCTTCTTATAAAAACCTAAATACAAACTTGAGTGCCTGACTGAATTTACACTGATGGCTCTGCTGTTGCTTGTCATAGTCTTGACTTGGGCTCGCAGTAGATAATAGGGTTTAAATTAATAAACTCTGGAATTATGCAGTGAAGAAGATTGCACACTGCAACAAATTCAGTATCTAAAATAAAATTTGACAACATTTCCCATTAAATTTTTCTGAACGGAAGTGTTTATTATAAAAATAAAAGCCCCTTATCTGCCATAGAGCCAGTCCTGGTTACTCAGATATTTTCATAAGCAACACCCCCCCGCCATCCATCTTACTCTTACAGATAACTGAAGGAATCCTGGAAGAAAACAGCTCGCTATCCAAAAGCAAGTTTTATTTTTACATTTTCTACCTACCCACAATTTAAGAATTCAGTTAACATTTAGCAGCAGTCCTGCCCGGTGTTGAAAATGTCATTCTGGCATAGAAAACAAAAGAATTCACCCTTTTACAGCAGAATGCATTTCACAATTTGGAGGAGTTTAATCTTGGAAGAGATTATAATTTTCAGAAATTTCATGTGGTTTCCACACTGAGGTAAATTGCCACAGTCAGTAGATTCTTGCAGTGAAAAGTTTGCGTAAGGCAAAGAAGAAATACCTTTGTGGAGAAACAAGAATTGTATTTTAGGACGTAGACAACCAAAAGTTTTATTCTGAAAATACAGTATGGAGGAAAAGCTGATTGTTCACACATTCTTGTAAAATTTAATATGATAATTATCTCTTTAAGAAGGACTGAATTGAGGTCCTTCAAATACTGTTGTTGTAAAAATAGACTAATGTTGTTAATGTCAAAATAATTCTTACTGCACTAAAAGCAGCTCTGTTCTAGCTGATAAATCGGGAACTGAACAGAACAAACTGCTTCTGCTCTAGTACGTGTTTGGCTTTAGTGAAAGCTCTGGCCAGCAGATGGCAAACTTTTTTTTTCCCCTAAACCAGTCAAAAGTAAAGTAAGAAAGCAAATGTCTGGCGCCTCATTATGGGGTGGGGGCATTAGGACTCCCGGGCTGTGCAGGGGAGAGCGGGTCACTGAGGACACCCGTACCCCTCTGCCACAGCGCCCGCCACACAAGTGGGGCACGAGGGCTGTGAAAAGCAGTTCTTTAAGTGTTGAGAATTTTAGTATTTCATCAAGTCCGTGGATGTTAATTATCTTCATTGTGCGGAAGGCCAATCTTTTTTAAAAAAGATGGGTCTCGAGTAGGAATTGCTGGACGATGGACTAAGGCCACGTCAGCAGTGTTTAGAGTGCGCAGAGCCTCTCCATCCGGCGGGGACAGGCGAGGAACAGCCCAGCGGGAAGCGTCGGGTCGTGCCTTTTCACCAGGACTCGTGTTACTTTGAGTAAATTAAGAAGGCTGAAAAGGGCTAGCGATATCTTGTGATTTAAGAAAAAATCCAGCTAAGATGGGAGAAGGAGCAGCTTTAAAGCAATTTCCTACATGTTCTCTCCAGTGAGCTTCCAAAGGCTTCTGGTTTTGTGGGTGAGAGTGGGTCAGTTTGACCACAGGATCGTTAGGAAACGATCAGGCGCCGTCAGGCAAGACTGCAACTAAGTTTAACGTGGCGAAGGTCGGCGGTTTGCTGTGAAAGTGGGGAGCTTCGTCCTAGCGCTCTGTGCAGTTCGCCGCGTGCGGTCCTGTGCTGAAACGCAGCCTGTTCGCAGGCGAGGACCGGGTCACAGCAGGGAGTGACACTGCTGCCTTTTGTCTTTCAGATGCCGAGCTCGCTGGTGGAAGCCTTCACTACTCAAACTAAACCTACCATCAAACCTGACAACTTTTTACCATCAACCCCGACAACTTTTTACCATCAACCCGACATTACCAATACTGACCCTCAAACCCGACATTACCAATATTGACCGCCAAACCCGACATTACCAATACTGACCCTCAAACCCGACATTACCAATATTGACCGCCAAACCCGACATTACCAATACTGACCGTCAAACCCGACATTACCAATATTGACCGCCAAACCCGACATTACCAATATTGACCATCAAAACTTAAAATTTATTATCAAACCAATTACCATCAAGACAAAAATCCAGTCATAAGTGGTGCTTAACATTTCTGTACAGAATTTTACCACGAAAGAACTTTTTTTTAGTTTTTAACTTGAGACTTTCTTTTTTAAAATACACTTCTAATCCAAAAGGGTGGAAACTTTTTACAACTGCTGAACATTGTAAATGACCACATAAATATCTCACTGATGTGAGATAATGCCCTGGAATAGACCATCTCAAATGCTGCTTAATTACAGACTCAGGTTGACTTTATGTTATTCATGTAATGTTACTCCAAGTTAGACATCTGGTGCAAGAGCGACCAGGAATTATAAAAATTGCAACTGACAGTCTGTATATTTAATTTAAAGACTTATTTAAAATTTCACAAGCTCTCAAATAACTAGAGTTTTGCAAGAGCTTCATCTTTTTTCCGTGACGTCTGACACTAGAAACTAATTTACTTCACATTTGAGTTACAGTCAAGATCTGAAGAAAATCTTCTGGTTTTCAACATCGTGAAACAACGAATATGCAGTTCTGAATGTATCTCTCAAGACTATTTGTGTACTCTTCCATATGTTTTTATTACATTTTCTGAATATACTGTCACTTGTCTGAAGTCTCAGTTGTCTGTTTTGTCTCTCTAAAGTGTCTAGTTACAGACAAATTCATACTGTGATTTTTATTTTTATTATTAAATGCTATCAAACTGTGATGCACTTATTATTCACTGGTCCTGCATCAGGAGATGAGTGGGGAACCTGTATTAAATACAGTTCATCTGAATAATCTGTCTGGTTTATACAAGCTGTGTTGTTCAGAGATGTCTAAAGTTTGATCTTTGTTTTTTTAAAGATAAAAAGCACTTGCCCCACTGTAAATATATAGCATGTAAAATTTATATAGTATATAAATACAGCAAAGTTAAAATGGATTTTTACTTGAGTTTTACTTGAGTTATTTAACATGCAATATGTCATGTGAATTGACAGCTTTCAGAGTGTGTTTGATACTCAAGAAATCAGATCTTCCTTTCAGTGGTAGGTGAGAAGATGCTGTCGGTGTGACCCAGAGAAGATAAGTAACTTGGGACTTCAGCTGCCTAGACAAGAATGCAGAAGGCTTTCTCCTTCGAAGTTAAAAGCTTCCAAACCCAGGGAACAGGTTGGGAGCTCAGCAGTAGCTTTTTACTGTGTGACACTTAAAAAAACCAAAAAGAGGAACAAGGTTAATGTTTTACTAAATACTTCAAGTAATACTTTGGTACGTGGAGAACACCATAAAGCCAAACCATAAGTGTACCCTGCATAATGTTCCTATGGCAACAGTTATGTGAAGTTACATAAAGTAACATGACAAAGAAACCACCTACCTTTCCTGTATCTGGCTTTTCTTTCCTCTTTTGTCCTCTGGCTCCAAGATTTGGTGTCTTGTCTTTTGTCTGACGAATAACTCCAGCGTAAAAGTACAAAAGGAGTTTCATGTTGACTGCTGTACCCGATGAAGCGCTCCAGAAGCGACGACCCCCTCTGCGCAGCGAAGGGAGGGAGGGCAGTTCGCAGCAGCTCCAGGCAGGAGCAGTGGAGGCGCAGACCAGGCAGCTGCAGCAGCCCCAGCTGGCTCTGACTGGGGGAGGTCTCATTAGTCTACTTGAGGAGCAGAGATCCTATTACCCCCCCCTTACATTTGACTGAAACTCATGGAAGGGAACTGACAAAATACCTCCTTCATTTCGGGCGGCTCTGAAGGGAAAGCAGCTCTTCATGGCATAGCACTCATAGCTGCAGCATACTTCACCGGAACAATCTATTTTGCAGTTGAAGGTTTTTCTCTCTGAAAATTTAAACCTGGTAATTTAAATCAGTGTGCCTAAAGGCAGGGACAAGAGGCCTTTTACTTACAAGAGCAGTTGTAACACATGCTGTAAAATTAAACCTTAGGCTCTAAAAAAAAAAAAATAAAAAAAATAATCAGCAATTGCCTCCCATGTATGAATGAATTTACCATGCGGTAAATGAGCAGCTATACTACAGTAGAGTTTCACACTTTATTTTTGAGAAAATCTCCCGATTTAAGCAACAGGTCTTAATGATAAATGAAAACATTAATATTGCAGTGGATTTACATAGAACATCACATTTTTAACAATGATTGATACAGAGTATTTGTCATGCAAATCACTTGTGTACACCAAGTAATACTTATATCAATACCTATCTGTACAGTATTTACATTTTATATTTAAACTCTAGCTAGAAACATTTTCCAAGAAAATATAGAAATGAAACTGGTAAGCCACAAGTCTTAATTTGTAGCAGTTGGTCTACAACAGACCTAGCTTTTCCAGCAAGCATATCTACATAGATATGTAATAAATCTTAAAAATAAGCATTGTTTTTATATACGAAGCATTATAAATGCTGCTCAGTTTACAAAGTTCAGTTTTGTACCAGTTTAAAACAGTTCAAAATGTTAAGTGACATAGAGCTTATTTTGTCAGAATATTGTAAAATTTAAGTCAGTCCAGCTGAGCTTAACCGTTCTGCACAGTTCTCTCCCTCGGCGGCACTGGCAGCGCAGCGGCCGTTAGCGGCCGAGTGTTCAGGCACTGAGAAGCGGCGCTCCGGCTCCTGCTGGTCCCCGCAGTGGTACAGGGCGAGCGAAAACGAAGAGCTGAAGAATTGCGCCGGTTCTGGCGCAGCACGAAGGGAGAAGCCCCTCGTCCCCGGGGGACCTCTCCTCAGCGTGGCCGAACCCGACAGACGCTGCGTTAGCCACCGAGCGGCCAGACTTCGTAGCTACCCCTGGACGTGAAGCCCAATAAAAAAGGGAAAGGTTGAGAGAGATTTTTCACCCTCATGGATAGTACCTGATTTGGCCAAAATTTTCACAGGCCACTTTGTTTTACTGGCCTCGTGGCCAGTGGAAATTTTGGGCCAGTTTCACTCCCTGTTAATACTGTTACAAAGAACATTTGAAATCAAATATCACACACAAGAATCCTATTCCATTAGCTTTGGTAAATTAAATAGATATATTGAGCACCACAAATAGCTGTTTAAGATGTCGCATTTTAATGCTAAGAAATAATGTATTTCCTGCTATAATATCCTCAGTTACATGTTACTCTAAATATTTATTTCTGCCGGTTATAAGAACTTCAAACTAAATACAGCAAACGAACTCTCAAGGCATTTCCTTCATGCTGACAGGCAGACATCCTCACCTGGTTAAATAAATAGATTTTCTTGAAGGTGATACTTCAGAAGATAAAAATTGATACAAAAGTGCTTCATGGCTTATTAATGCTTTTGTAATCTCGCATTTCTCCAGAAATACTTTATTTGCTGCATTTCACCTTTACACTCATTAGTACCACTGATTCTGGCTTATCACTATTTGCATTACAAATCTACTTGGCCAAAGCTACAAGCGATGTACGCATTGCTTGAAAACCAAACTTGAAGCTGTGGAACAGAAGACTCAAAACAAGTGATGTTGGCAGCTCCATAATCATGCTGCTTTGCAAACATGGGACATAACAACTTAATTCGTTCCTATAAAGAGTTTAAATGTGTTCCATTAAGCAAAGATGTCCCCACACTGATACTTATTCAGTACTCAGATTTGAACATTCATCCAAGTAAACTGCAATTCTGCGTACTCTGGGGAAAAATCTAAGGTGTAAAAAAGTTTACTTTGTTCTTCCCCCCCCCGGCTTTTTTTGCAAACATGCAACAAAGCAAAGCGTTCGCCGGCTGCCGCCCCGTGCAAAACGAGGCCAATCAGTAAGATGGGAACAATGAAACAGGACCTCCCTTACAGGTAAAAGGAGATTTGAAACAGATCAACTTAGTAGGTCTGTGGTTTTGCCAGTGCAGCACGTTCCCTACAGCGCTCCAGAGATGCTTCGGGACACAACGAGCAAAACCGCTTTGACAAAGTATTGGGTCTCCTCAGCATTCACTGGCACAGGAGGGACGGCTCACCTTCAACAAGTTTGTGAAAACCTGAGTACTAACAGAAGCAGTAGGGCCCAAAAAACCAACTTTTTGCCCTCATTGTGGAATTAGAGGCTTTACCTTAATAAATGTATATGTGCTGCCAACAGAAGAGCGTTGTAGTAAAATCTGCCATTGTAGTTCACATGTTACTGAAAGACTACATGGAGAGAAACACGTGCTTGCGGGGGAGTTTAGTTGCACTAGGTAAGGTGTAAAATTTTATTTTTTTAAGTAAAAGTAAGGATGTCTATTCATTTTTTCAATTTCAACTGCTGAAGCACAGATCTGAAAAATCGCCTTTAAGAATGTAATAAAAATACTGAACTTTTCTGTACGTCCAAAGTTTGTTATCAAGAAAAGGACTGAATCCTGCTTGCTTAACTATCTAGGGCTGTATCTTACAGAAAGATTTCACCTTCCTGTTTTTTCCCTTTAAAAACATTAAATGCATGTGAAATCATTTGGGGGTGTTCCCACATGCAAAGCCTGAACTCACGCGAGCCCTCTCACCTTACTCCGTTAGTAGTAACTTAGCGTTAATGAAACTACAACATATCTGAAACATAAGAAGGATGTTACTATATAAAAAGCAGATAAAACCAGTCATTAAATCTTACTGCTTATTGCGAGTGGATGAGCAGACAGGAATGAGTTTCAGCCCACTGGCAAATACCAAACCACATCTGTACTTAGTGTCACATCTACAGACTCAAAGCGGCGGTGTTGGTACCTGCATGCATTTCAGTGCGGATCGACCAAGCCCTTTGGCACAACTAGTTACCTACATAACAACTAGTTACCCACATAGCTGCCAGTCCACCGCTGAGCTGCATTTCTGAAGAAGAAGAAAAGCTGTTTCCATAAAGACAGGAGAGCAAATCCTAAATGAAAGCTGCACTCAGCCTTCCTGCGAAACACACAAGACTTGAAAACTGATACTGAGATTGTGGGTTTTCTGCTGACAGAAAAATTAAGTGCTAGATCACGCTGTACTCCACTTCTGGTGCTGCATTTTGGTGAGAGATGAAAGGTCTTAAAGTCACTCCTCCTTTTATCGGAAATGCGCTCAAGTAACAGGTATGGAACATTTTACTATTCGCCTCGAATTCCTTCCCTCCCCACCCAAATAAACTGGAGTTGTAACTAATGCAAGAGAAAACAAGGCTTCCATGTTTTCAATTGAATTAAGTTCCAATACAATAATTCTCTGGGATTTGAAGCTTAGTTCACATTATATGCCAATAACTATTTACCCTGAACGGTCTTGCCAAGTTTTGATGTCATAGTAAAGTGTGTATATATATAAAATTTACAGTTATCGTCTTCGTTTAGTTCGTCCAATTTTTACATTATCACTCAACAGTATGCTCATTTACAGGTTAATGCAGGTATACAAGTTGCTGATCATGTTCTATTTCTTATTTGCAATTCTTCGTTTCCTTGTTGCCAGCATATCATAAAAGGGATCCCTGCTGATACTTGCTCTAGAAGAGAAAAAAGGAATCATCAGTTTGGTTAACAAATACCTGGTTTTGAAAACTAATACTATTTTGTTCTCTCTTCCCTGTGAACGACTCCACACGCGTAATAAGATAATGGATGGCTGACTTCTAAGCATCGCAAGTATTTCTTTAGAAAAAGATGTTATTCAACTGTGATTTGTTAAGACTTCATACCTTCATCCTGAGCATTCTTTATTTCTTTAAGTGTGGGTCTGCTTTATAAGCTTTCCAAGATAAAGTCAAGCTGTGAAAGTTTAAAGCTGCACTGAGAACATGCTAAAGATACATGTCACTGAAGTTAATTAGGTGAAGTAAGAACCTAATAAAATTAGGGTTAAAGACGATTCACACAAGGCTTTACATTTGCTTAAATAAATAAATAAAAATCCACATTCTCCTCAATTGCGTTAGTAGCACCGTTTCCTTAGGATCAGGCAGTAACAGGAGACTTGTATCTTGATCTGTCAACCCCAAGTACCTTGTCATTAATCCTAGAGGATGTCGCCACATCAGAATTCTTCAAACAAGTTAGGATACTAATTCTTTTAGTATCTTACTCCGAAAAGAGCTTACACTTCATTTAAGGCTTTAAACTCACTTGATAGATTTAATCCACTCTTCCTTTTCTTCTGGGGTGGGAGCAGATATCCTATACACTACATGGTTGCCCTCCACCACTCTGCCATCAGCTTCAGTTTTACATGCTTTAATTACTTGACCTTTATGACTGGGGTTGTAGAGCTCAAAGCAGTTCTGGAGGGTAGAAATTAAGAAATAAATTTAAAAACCAGAAGAAACCTGACAAACATCTTCATTTAATACTTTATCTAAGTTCTATGCGGTTTAGTTATCTTCATTTAAAAAAAAATATTATGAAAACATCTTACGGGTTTTCTAGGGTCCTCAACTTCTCTTATGCTTAGATTTTCTAACGGAATAATTCCTCTAGGTTCTTTGTCCTAAAAATTTAGGAAAATATCACATTATTAACCACTTAAATATGTTCACTACAAACGAAGTTCACTGTAATATCTACTCACTGTTGTGTATTCAAAGTAATACAGGCAGTTATCAGTCAGAATAAACCATCTCCGCTTCCACGTTTTTACTCTTCCCCCTACAATCAAAAAGTACAGCTGAATTAAATGAGTGTTGCTGACAAGGCTTCAGCAATGGATAAGAAAGTAATTTAGTTTTGCTTGGTTTTCAAAATATGGCTTAATTACTTAATCAGAAATGGATCAGGCACAGATGAGCTGAGGTTAAAGGAACACGTTGCTGTAACTCCGGTACTAAGACCAAACTCCTGAGACAGCATTAACTATGGTGTTGCCACAGAACAGTTGCAGAAACGGTGTGCTCTCAAGTTGCACGCATCTCCTTTCTTACGAGACCGAATGCGATCGCGCAGCAGTCGGAACTGCTCCCTCTGTCCATGCCGCCGCAGCTGTTGACTGCATCCGAAACACTGATACTACACAGCCCGCAGAAGCGCAGTCTGCGCTGCCACGGCAAAGGGAATCACCAGTAAAACCAGTAACTGGGTTCCAGCAACAGAACCGACCCTCTCCACAGCCTGTCTCATCAAGGGAAGGGTCCCACCAGTAACATTAAGGGCATTTTATCACCTTCCTTTCACCCCGCTCGTGAGCACACACGTGTTTAAGAACCTATCTCTACTTACAGATTTAACATCAAGTGTGTACGATGCTTATAAGCAGTACTAGTGGAACAAGTATGATGTGTCATCAATAAGGAGCAAATCACATGCCAAAATGTACCATTTTTAGTCATTTTTCATCATTTAGTATTCTCAAAACGTGTTCTCTTTATGGGTTAACACATTGCTGAGTACACCTCACAGCAGACATTGCTACTGCTTCAAAACTGCACTAGCGGTTCAGACCCAGCAACCACGGAGACCCAGCTCTCTTACACCTGCCAACGTCACGCTGCAGGGAACAGTTCCTTTTAGCAAAAAACATTATTGTCTCAGCCCTTTCAGCTGCTTTTCTGCAGCTGGCTGCTTCAGAACATGCCTAGCATTCCACAATTACATTATTTTTAAAACTCATTTCCAGAAAAGACAATTGTAGGTAAAGCAGTCATGTGTCGTTGACATACAGGCTTAGTTCCACCATAGTTATCTGACCTCAGCATTATGTCACCACCTGTGCATCATCCATTCAGCAGTGATTTAATCTCATTAACCCAACATTGCAAAATAGTTGATCTTGCTATTGAACACCCCTGTATAAGAGTACCGTTAATACACACAAGACCCCAATTTAATCCAAGTCATATAACT